AGAAAACTGAAATCCCTTTATGGTTTGGTTCTACCAACCGGCTTACTAACCCAAAATGGATAAAAGGCTTGTTTTCTCCCAGGCTTGAAAAGCAAGAAGCTGAACTTGTGACTCTCCTTTGGATTACAGCCTTTTGTTATTAGAGATGCCACTCTGTGCTGAGTTTTAGTGAAGTGAATGTAAAGCACCTAAAGAAATTGTGTTGGTGGTTGGCCCCCGTCATGCAATTTCAGATTCCCTCCTGAAGAAAGGTCTAATTCTTAGAATTTAAAGAATTTGTCAAGGCTTCTCTACTGAGACTATCAGATGACGATTATTGAAAAAAAAAAAGAGTGACTTCTACCCCAATGGCATTTTAGAGATGTGATTATTTAGAATCCCATCTTGTCAATGTTGTTGTCCTCTTAAATAATTGAATAGCATCAAGAACTTCTACTAATTTAGACTATGTGTACATTATGAAGACGCCCTGTATCCATGAATTTGGCAGCGAAAACTGATCCATGTATTCCGATTCTTAAAAGATTTTTTAGCTTCTTCAATTTTGTTCTATCAACTAAAATAACAGGAAGTGGGGGAAGCAGATGCCAAATCACTTCTCCCTGGAGAAACTGATAACTCACTCTGAAATCTACACACTCGTATTTGAACTTTTCTTGATTGGCGGTCTCGTGTTTTCCTACCCTGTGGTCAAAACGGTCAAAATGGTTCTTTGTCAGGTTCTGACTATCTCAGAAACAACTTGGATAGTTCTCTAGTAACTTGTACCTTCTGAATCTTGGAGCTTCAATTCAGTTCACCTGCAGATCAGTTCAACAATGCAGCCCCTACTCTGGGCCGGGTACCATGCCAAGCACTTGGGGATACTCATATGAATAACACGTAGTTGCTGTCCTCAAGTTGCTGACAGTCTGTGAGGGAGACAAACAACTGAAATGGGCAATTATCATTTGATACAGAAAGTTCGATGATGGTGGTGTGTGGAAAAGCTGCTAGCACAGCCTGGAGAGAAGTGGGTCAGAGAAGCCTAGAAAGGGCTTCCAGGTGTTCCAGCATATTGGAATTTGCCATGCTTAACCCTTAGAAGTCATCTGACCCATTTGACCCAGTGTGAAAGGATTATAGCTACAAGCTGACGTAAGATTGCTGATTTCCCTATTCAATACCCCAGCACCCTACATCATAGGTAAATGTGGAAACAGAATTACAGAGTGCTACACTAGGACACTAAAGACAAACTCAGCCCCAAATCTCCCCTAATCAAATTCCTAAGTGATCCTATGTGCTTTATACTTAGAGATCCCCAAATAATTCTGAGTGGGAATTTTATGGAGATTTCCTATACATTACATCACTGACTTGGTTTTCACACTGATTGGTCACCATTTCCTCTTCCCCCCACCTTAAGTGCTAAAATTCTCCTTTCACAAAACCAAGTCAATGCAGAGTTATAAATACTGTTATACTGTTATCTTTCAACTGAATCTCCATAATAAGGAAATGATAATTGCGATTTTCTAAAGCAATAGATAGCTAAAATCTATTTCCTTTGGTTCTTAAAAATAAGTGCTAAGTGCATTGCATACTTTATCACAATTGTAATAATTCTATTTGGTAATTATATTATGCCCATTTTACAGAGAAAGAATCTGGTCTCAGAAAAGTAAGGATCTTGGCTGAAGTCATTAACAAGTAAGTCACACAAACAGTATTGTATTTCTGTATTTGTGCTTTAACTACTGTGCAATGTTAGTTATACGAAATAGCCATACCAAATTCCTAAAAACACTACTATGTTGGTGTATGCTTCCCAGAGTCCTTCTACAATTTCTTAGGATTTAAACAACAGTAGAATGACATGACATATCTACATATAAAGGAAATTAAAATCCCTATATTAACACAATATGACCTGACATATGTCTGTGATATTCAGAAATTCATCGAAGGTGCTAGCTATCAATTGTCACTTGGTTCTCTCCTCGGTGTGGAAAAACAGCAACAAAAAATAAAATTAAAAGCTCCGGTCTTGGCACATTTTTCCAGTGAAGGGGCAAGATCTCTCCACAAGGTATTATCTGTGAGCCCAGCCTAGAGCCCTAAAGGACAGCATGAATGATGATTCATTCACACATTCAGTAGATACTTTTCAAGTAACTACTGGGCATGTGGACTGCACCCATGAACAGACGAGCTTATAGTCCACGTAGAGAAGGCAGATCCAAACAAGTACATGGACAACAGTGTTTCAACAGTGAAATACATAGAACTGATTGGTCTGGGCTTCCCTGGAAAAGTGACATAAAATCTGAGATCTCAAGAATGAGTAGGAGTTAGCTAGATAAAGATGGAAATGATGTAGGAAAAGGACAGAAACCATATTGAGAAAACTGGACATCTGAAGACATTTCAAGGAGGGAAAAACTATGATGTAACTATCTTTCAGAATAAATCTGGTATGGTTGGAACTAAGATATCCAACTGAAAAAGAGATTGGAGAGAGAGAATAATAATAATAATAATAGCTGATATTCATCTGGCACCCACCATAGTAGGATGCATTATTTTTAGCATATTACAATGTCATATAATATTTTAGCATATTACATTATCATATAATATTTATAACAACCCTAAGAGGGAGATATTATTATTATCCCAATTTTACAGATGAAATAATTCTGTCATGGTCATATAGCAAGTTAAGTGGCAGAACTTTGAACACAAGGGTTTTGATTCCAGAGCTCATAGTGACCTCTGCTGTCTTCAGATTACGATGGGCTTTTTAGGGAATAAAATAAGAATTTTAGTCCTTATCCTATAAGCCAGGATTCTCCATGTATGCTCCCCACCCCAGACCTACTGAATTAGAAACTCGGGGGCAGGCCCAGCAATCACGATTCCACAAGCCCTCCAGGTGATTCTGATGCCGGTTAAGTTTGAGAACCTTTGACATAGGCAATGCGAAATCCTGCAACATTTTTAAATAGAGAAGTATCTTAGATGATGTTTCCTGAAGGTTGATCATTCTTATCTACATACTCAAAGGGGAAATTATGGGGTCAGGTCGATAATTCTCTCTTCGGAGTGAAGAAAGACTCAAGCTTTCTCATTTCCCCCTCTGCATCCACAAAGTCACATACCTACTCTCCCTTTCTTACAGAGAATAAAGTTAAAAATAAATGCTACTAAAAGTGGCAGGACTAAAGAGTAATGCAGCCTTCTATTAGGGAGCCTTAACCTGACTGCTGAATTGAGAAAGATAAAAATATCCTCTGTGATCTTACTGAAAGAAAAATGCCACTAATCTGACGGTTGTGACTTAGATAAATTTTAATCTATTAGACTTGCTTAGTTTTATGGGCAAAAAGAGTGCACATGTAAGAGTTACAGATATTATTTCTCATTCCCTTAGACCAAAGAATATTTTGCACTAGGAGTAGCTGCAGTAATAATAATTATGTATATATATATGTATATACATGTACATATATATATACACATAATTATATATATGTATATACATGTACATATATATACATAATTACATATATAATTATATATATTTCCAAAATATATTGTATTAGAGTTACATAAAATTTTCACTCCTCTAGAAAGGGGCCAAGTCATAACATGAATAAAAATCCAATAACCCTGCCTTTAGAAAGTCACATTCAATGTCAACTATAGAAGGATTACCATAGAGTAGTAATCTTCAGTTTGCAATCATTTTGTTTCTTTTCAAGTAAATTACATCCATTTCATTAACTTGTAGTAAAGGCTTCTTCCCCTACCAGTTTTTACATTTTAATGCCCTTTAATCTGACTTTTAAGGATTGTATTTAGAATACCATGATTTATTTACTGAAACTTCAATCAACCTAGAAACCAGAAATTGTGAAAAACTTTCCTAAAAAACATACATTTAAAAGTTGATTAAAAATCAGTAACATGAAAATGACTAATAATGTACATTTTTTTAAGGACAGAAGCTAATAAATATTTGAAAAACTAACAGAGCAAATGACTAGTTTCCCATTTAACTTGACCTTGAAATAATCTTAAGCATAAAAAAAAAAGACTTAAATCTGATGCCCATCCCCACCCCAAATTAGTGTGTGAGTAAGGAAAAAGAGATTTCCTATTTAGTTTTATCGCCAGGGTTCAAAAAGCTATGCTTTATTTATAATTCAAGGAAGAAAATGCAGGCTTTTAAATATGTATATACAATTTTCTATTAATATACATTTAATGTATATTATGTAATGTCTCTTATTTAATGAGTTAAATATCTCTTTAAGCCAACCTAGTAATTTGATAAAAAGCATTTTCATTCTCATTAATTGATGGACATGTAACAGTAGGGAGAAGAGAAATGACCATTTGCTTCCTTCTTCCTGGAACACTTCCCCTTCAGGACTCAGCCTAAACACCATTTTCCTAGATCATCCTTTCCAGACTGCCAAACTCCATTGCCCTTTTCCCACCAAACCAGGATAGATTCCTTTAAGCTCCCATAAGTTTTTTATACCTCTTTGCTGCATTTATAACAATTTTAATTAAAACAGTAAAAAATCAGTAGTTTAACATCGAATCTTCTCTAAAATTATAATTTCCATTAGGACAAGAAGCATTTTGGACTTGTTCCCCATCGGGTCTTCAGCGAGTAATGGAAGGAAGAAAGGAAGTCAGGAAGGAAGGAAGGACCCTGCAAGGTGAGGGCTGTAATAGCAACAAGAGAAACACCGATTCGTGTCCTAAGCTAACACTTCATGTGACTAAATACCACTGCATTTGGCTACATGAATTCAAAACACTCCAGTACCAAATACCTCCACATTTAGGTGAATTATCATAGTATAATTAGGTGAATTATGCTTATTAATGATAAGGGAAAGGAGACAAAGTTATCCATCTTAATTCAAGCTGACTAAAATGTATTTTGGAAATTATCACATAAATAAGGAAACTTCTGAAGGAGACACATTGGGTATACTTACTCAGGAAAGCCAGAGAAGAGTCACTGGGCTGAGGGGGAAATAGCACAGCCGATCTACATCATTAATGCTTGAGCATTTCCAAGTAGAGGCCGCTATGATCTGGCATGTGGCTCCTAAAGGACGTATGCTGAAGATCAAGTGAAATGAAGACCATGGAGAACATGCCTGTATCAATAGTCCAGTCCAGTTACCCTGCCTGTTGCTGCTTACGCATGCCAGGAGCACACATTGCTTTCTACTTTTCATAGCCAAGAAATCAGCTTCTGGAAGCTGCTGCCACAAGAGTCAACCTTTCGCTCAGAATTATTATAAATCAACTTTTGCTGATCATCTATTCAACCATATTTAACAAATATTTATTGAGTATCTACTATGTGCCAGGTAGTGTTCTAGTTGCTTAGGATGCGCTAGGAACAAAATAGAAGCAATAGATGTGAAGCACTGTTCTGGGGCTGACAATAACCTCAAATATATACTAACTGACAGTAAGTACTAAAATGTATAAAATGTGATCCGTGCTCTTGAGGAGTTTACTGTCTTGAATGAGGGGGGCTGATAAACATGAAAATGGTGACCTACCACATGAGGTAGCACACAAGGAGAGTCAGAATGCCTGACACATTTTAGATGTTGAATACATGGGTTTGTCAGAGAGGAGGCCACTTTGAACTTGGGGGCCGTGGAAAGATTCATGAAGAGCTCAGTCTTGAGCGGGCCTTAGAGCCAAGCTTAGAAAAGCAGAGAAGGGGACTGGAGGAGGAAAGGGAAGGAGGGATGTTTCTTATGTACAAAATCTTTTCTTGAAAACCATGTACTGTCTACATTATCAATTGAGCACTTGCTGTCTGCTAGATATTATAATATGCTCTGGGGAGTGTACAGTCAAAGAGAAATTTCACCCTCAAAAGTTTACAGACTAGAAAGGAAGTTGTAAAAATGTGCATTCGTTGCTAAAACACAAAGTGGAAAGTTTTAAGAGTCATAAATAAGAGAAGTGCTGATAAAGTTCTACAGCCATTTGGCGGGGGTGGATATCACTTATAGCTGATTATCCGAGAAGGTCTGATGGAAAACAACTGGCATTCAAAGGGGCCTTACAAGATATGACCGCATGAACGAGAAAATGACATAACGGCAGAGTAGGAGAGGATCCTGATGAACCAGTGGGAGAGATTAGAAAGTGGGAGGGTCATTTTAAAGGCTATTGCAATAGTCAAGGTAAGGCAATCTAAGTAAGGATTCAGACATTTGTTCATTGACTTTAAAATTATAATTGGCCACATCAACTTTCTTGTTCCTCTACCATCTCTTATAAATTATTTTGTTACATTGTTTGAATCACCAAATTGTAATATAACATGCAATTTTCTTTATTATTTAACATCTATCATTTACATCCTATTAAGAGTTTTCTTCTGTAATTTTTGAATTTTTAGATATTTTTGAGCTCACATTTCATCATCAGATTTTATTATTGTCTTTATTAATGTTTAATATTATTTTTATTATTACATGATTTTTGACATGCATTTCCTTAAATAGTGGTCAATGCTCATTTTTATCTATTTTCACCTTGTTTGCTGAAGTCCCTGCATCTGCTGCTGCTCTGCACCCCCTCCCAGACTTAGTATGTTACATGTATATTTCTAATAGTTTCTTTTTTAGCTTTACTGTATGTGGTGAGCTATTATGTTAATATAGTCAGAATAAAACAACAACGATATGTAAAACTCTGCTAGAATCGTATGGCAATCATCCCATATTCTGTCGCTGACAGTGGCGCTAATGAAAATTATAAGAAGTCCCTGATTTTCCTCTCTGAAGTCAACTTCAGAAGGTTAAGGATGTACTTGAAATAGTATAGCTTTCCACAACATATTTTCTCTGTGGAAGGGTCTGAGGTGCGCTACGTGATGAATGATGTGAGGGTGACCTTGGCAATGTGTGAAGGCATCGATTTTTTGGCAGTGCACTAAAGCCTTTGCTAGTCTCAGAATGAATTATGTCGCCATCTGTATATGTCCACAATGGTAGGATATCTGACACCAGGAGACAAAGGTGGAGGAATTGAGTATGAACTGAGCAGAGGTTTAGAGGGGAGGAAAGGTGCTTACTACCTGGGTCGTCTCCGCCTCTCGTGGGCCCTCACTATGCACAACAGTCCTAGAAAAGCCAAGAGAAGAATGAGTGGAGGAAAGCAGAGGATTCCCCACTCCCTCTGTCCATCCATTCTTCAATTCAAAAAACATGCATTGATCACCTACTTTGTGCTGGGGACATAAGATGAGTTAAACTTCTACCATGAACCTTGACTGCTTGCAGCTTATAATCTAGCAGGGGTGACAAACATGAAATGAATCATTATGAGTTATCATGTCATTACAATTGTGACAAAAGCTACAAGGCGGAAGTGTAGAGTGCTTTAAGGGAGAAAGACTAGAATACCAGGCTGCAGCAGCATCCATCCTCAGAACAGAATAGAGCCAATTTTGTTTAAAGCAAACAATTACTATCAGAATGCATTATAAAATGCTATCATCTCAGGGCAACAGTGGGATAGATGATATCACAACAATGGCAAGAAATTTAGAGAACTTTGGCCATATGACAAACTATGCATAAAATGTTGTTATTGTAAAGATGACAAGGAATCCCTGGAATTTTCCCTCCACAATCTTTCAATAATATGTATTTCCCAGAAAAAGAAGGAATCTCATCTGAAATCTTATGCACCTGTGTGGCTAGTCAATTATTCACAAAGCATCATGGATCTGATATAGAAGTTTCCTACCTAATGCTGTTAGACAGTCAATTTGTGATGCTAAACAAAATGTGCACAGGAACCTTTAATATAGCATTGCAGTATTCTTTGAACATTCATTTATTCCTTTACTGTGGGATATTTAGAAAAATAAGATGTGCACACATATCATCTTAGCACATGTCCATCTGTCATCTGGAATTGCCAATAAACGTATTGCTTAAATAGTAGTGGTTAAGAGTGGAGACACCGATAATGAGAGAATCTAGCAGTAGATGATATAAATGATCACAGAGCTACACAAAGATAACTACCAGACCAGCCACAAAAACCATAATAACAGGAGCAACTCTTGCCTACTTGTTCGTATGCTCCATTTCTAAGGATTCTTGAGGTAATTTGTATTGTATGAATTCTTTCCAAATAATGAGAAGAAGAAGAGGAGTTAGTAAACATACACCACTGGAAGTAACTTAATCCTAGAAAACAAAACCCAGATTCGATAAGCCCCTCTCCCTCACCCCTTGGAAGTGGAAGCTACTTTTGCTCTTTATACAATATGTTCATCAAGGATCTTTAGGTGCATTTGTTATGAAGCTGCACCTGAGTATGTTATTCTTGCTGGCATTCTTGAATTCCACGCACCTCTAGCTGATATTCTTTTCTTAGGCTATAGCGGGCTTGTGAGAGAGGCCCTGGCTTAGTCAGAAAGGGAACTCTTTCTGTCTGAATTAGGGTCTCTAGGATGATGAGTGTAGAAGAAGCAGAATTTGGGGGAAGTTCCCTGTTCTTGCTGTACCTGCCATTATGATCAGAGAGTGAAAAACAGAGCAAGAAACCCCTTCTCAAAAGCACCCATCATCCCAGGGATCTCCAGACAGAAATAAATGTGCTTCTGGCTTTGCATTGTAAGAGAAATAAAGCAAATGAGCAAATAATACATCTTCCATAAAAATAAAAAGATTCCTGTTGTACGACAGTTTTTCTATTGTCACCGAAAATTACCATAATATATAATATACGTATAGCAGTTTTCAGACTATAAGGATTTTCACTACCATATATTAGCTCAGTTCTGTTCTGAGAGGGCTGGAGATGGTCATGCATCCACCCTACACTTGGGCAGTAAACCTCCTTCCAAGTTGTTAGAGCACTAATCCCCATATTCTTCATAGAATAAAAGGGTTCTTATCTGATGAGATTGGAACCCACAATTACTTGTTTAACCAAAAAAGTAGGTTAAAGCTGGGAATCATAAAAAACAATGCACATAGATCTTAACATATTAATTTAACCTAGGAAATATACCCATTCATTTGTTAAACTTCAAATGTAGGGCCAAGGTCATTTCTTTGGTATGCGGCTGGAGATCCGAGTTGATCTTTTGCACAAACAAATCCATGTGCATCCTCAGCAAGTGCCAGTTATTCTGTTTTGTTTGTTTTGTTTTGTATATGTGAAATAAGAACTTAAAGATGAAGACAAAGCAATTCAAAGCAGAGTCTATCTAGGTTTTTCTGATTTTTTTCCCCAATCTTTTCTGTTTCTTACCTGCACTTAGTCTGAAAGCAATGTTAAACAAATTTTCAGAACTTTCCAAAGCATTAAATTTAGTGTTCACAGAAATAAGAATTCTTTTGACAATTAAATTTCATTTGTTTATTTCATATTTATTAAATTTTATAATATCAAAACAAGAAACAAGTGGCATGAACAAGTTTGAGAATAAAAACAACTGATTCATGTTAAGAATAAAACTCATTAAGTGGCAGCAGAGGTGTGTGTTTATCCTTAAGAGGAGCCTATTTCCACAAACATCTGGGTGCCATGGGCAGAAGGACTGGACACAGTGAGCAAGTTGATCAAGTAGGGGTCTATTAAGAGAACATCCATGGTAATTGTTATATTCCAGGTTGCTTCTTAAGAGTTATTGTGGTATATAAATTAGAACTAAATTTGTTTAAAAATTATTTGATATTTCTGCATTGAGTGTAAGTTTTCAAAGCACAACTATCACTCAGCATGGCCCCAATGCTTCTATTCATACAAAGAGAATCAGCAACTCTACTGGCCAAAAAGTAGTAGACCCTGGCCTATGTGGTATTACTTTAAGAGCTCTAGGCATACTCTGCATTCCACCCGAATATTTTCCTCACCTACTAGTGATACCTTGGAAGCTTTATTATTTTGGCCAGTGATTCTCAAAATTTAGGGGACATAAGAATTGCTGGATGTACTTGTTAAAATGCAGATCAAAGGCTCTGATTAGAGATTCTGACCATGTAATAACGGGGGAAGCTCAGGAATCTGCTTTTTTAACAAGCATTCCAGATAATCCAAACACTATTCTTAGACATTATTTTGACAAACAAAATTTTGGACGATATTCAAAGTATCATCATCAAGCATCATGCCATCCTTCTTTTGACTCCAGCCATCCTGGACTACCTTCAGTTCCCGAAAAAACTA